TAGAAATTCCACGACATTCGCCTGGCTGGAGCCTGGGTAAATGTTAATTAAGCATCATTTACGCATTCAGGCCGCCATAATTTGCAGCGACAATGACACTGACAGCGCCACAATGTTGCGACAACTTTGACAAGCCCGCCAGCCAGGACACAAAAGTGGAGGATACAGTACAGAGTCAGAGAGTACCCTTTCCACCATTTACCCATTTACCCACTTGGCAACCGGAATGGCAACGGCAAAGGCAATGGCAACGCCAACGCGCTGCTCTGTCACTCGGCACGCAGTCAAATTTAATGTAACATAAAAGGTTTTCCATTTCATTTTCCATCCTACTTAATGGATATCTTCTGTGGACGTAAATGGTTACATTAGGACCAACCGCAGATATTTCCAGCCAATGCAATTTGGCATTTGTCTGAAGGAATCAGTTAATAAGCACATATGGTATCTAAAAATAAGAAAGAAGATAGGTAAAAGGATGTACTTTATATATAACATGGGCCACATGGCGTATGATTAATGTTGATCATACGTATACGCCGTGTAACCCATAGCTAACTACTTTAACGGAAACTTACTTACTTTTTAGATAAATCCTCATATATATATTATAAATTTCATATTAAGGCCACCTGTAAACCTAGCTTAACAAGCTGATTGTTAACCACATTCTGCCAGGCAATCAACGGCTGTTTCTTGCTATCCTGGCCTTGCTATCCTGGCCTTCTTTTGTCCAAATCCTTGGTGCCATCTGCTTGTCTCCAAATGTCCAATGCCCGCTTATCTATCCCAGACAATGGACAATGTGGCCGTGGATTAGCTCAGCCAAACGGTTATTTAGCGGCATCTCCACCAGAGTCAGGATTGGTCTCTCCCCCTTTCCTTTCCGGTTTTTCACCAAACAACTCCGCCGAATTGTGGCCACAAAGCGGCCGGTGAAGTGCGCCCAACAGCTGGCCAACAAAATCCAGGCAATGGCCAACAATATCCAACAATGGCCAAAACGACCGACCAACACCGACACAAAAACCAACAAATCGCCAAACTGTAGAAACAAAATAATAATAAAGACAAGCAGCAGCAGCAGCAGAAGCAGCAACAAAACGTGGAATGAAGGAGCGGCACGAAACCAAAATGGCAAATAAAATTGCACAACAAAGATGAAAATGAAAATGAAACGAATGCAGGACGAAGGCCCAAGACATTGGAAGGGGAGCACAGGGAGTCAAGCGAAAGAATTACGTTAAAAACCAAGACTAACGATGGTGTGATCTATGATTGGGGAAACAAACTAGACATACCCTGTAAATTTCTATGATTTTTTTAGGGAAAATATTAGAAAAATACATTTCTAAGAAAGTTTACATTGAAGTTGAAAAGGAAATAATATTATAAAAGAAGATTATTATCGAAATCTTTATATTAATTAATTTAACCTCATAAAGCTTTTTAGTTTAACTGACTTCATTCAGGCAACAAATTAGTATTTAAAGTTAGTTCTTATACAATTTTTTAATGATATTTTTTTAGTACAAAAACTTGTAGTTTAGTCAAAGAAAATGTCTTAAAAATTGTTCAATAAAACCCTGAAAAAGAACATCTTAAAAATTCTCCAATAAAAATCTTCACCAGAACATCAACACACTTTCTACCCAATTCTCAAACCTCAAAACCCCAACAAACCACAAACCCTTTTCCAGGGTATCAAACGCTACTAATAAAGAGAAAGGCAGCTCTAGGGTCGCAGGTCGCGCACACAAATTTCTCACACCAAATGCAAATAAAGCGACGCCTTGGAATTGAAATAGAAATAGAAAATTGCCAAACAAAAATGGCAGCATAAACTTTTGCTGTTTTCCCACTTCCGTACGTCATTCGTTTCTCCTTTTTTTCACCTCCTTTTTCGCCAACGGTCGTAACTCTCTTACAAACACACTCTCACACACACACACAGTACAAAAGAAAGTAGAAAGCGAATAAGACACAGTGGCACACATACGCACTGGCTGCCGCTGCTGCTGCTGCTTCTGCTGCTTGTCGACATTTTGGTAATAAATTGAGTTTTATGGCAGTCATATTATTCTTTATTAGTGGCTAAGAATTGTTGCCTTTTGTTGGCTTTTGTGTTGCCCGAAACGATGTCTCAACCCAGTCAGGCAGCATCCTTTGTATACCGAAAGTATATCCTGAATAACCTCTTCAATTCAAAGTATCTTCGGGAACTCTGAAGCTTAGTATCCTTAAACCCTTACCATGACTAGATATCACTCGTTCGATTCGAAAGTGGCTTCTACTGACGGCGGCTGTGGCTTAATTAATTCCCCAGTTTTCTGTTTTCTGCAAGGGACTTCGTGAAAAGTCTAAGGAATATGGGGAAGGGCATGGTATGCTATGGCCTTGGATTGGAATTCCCAGAAGCCCTCAGCCAAATCAATCAACTACAACGCCTTGTCCTTTGTATATTTGACTCTTTCATTTTCGGGCCCAGGCCCAGAGTCAGGGCCAAGCCAACAACGTGGCTAGTAAATCAAAAACTCTCATCCAAAAATCGTAATTTGGCGTTAAATTAGTCTCGCTGCCTCCAAAAACGTCGCGGGAATACTAATCAGGTCAAGGCAACGCGGCGGCCAAAATGGTATTATCCGTCAATCGCACATTTTCACAGCTGTCAATGCGGGCCAACGAATTGGAATATTGGAAAAAATCAGCATTGGGAAAATATATAAAAACCGAATACAATTTTTGCATGGCTTATATTAGAGAAATGTATTAACCAAAATATTAAATATTTATATAAACAAAAACTTGAAAATATTATAAAACTTAGAAAGTGTATTGGAAAATGAATTTATCTTTTGCTTAATTTATAAAATATATTTGATTAATCGAAAAATCAGGAAGAATGGGAAATGAAATCTGCCTACAATTAGCTTAGGTTATCTTAAGAAATATTTTAAGAATAATATTTAACAAAAATTTTACATAAATAGAAATTAGAAAATATTAGAAAACTTGGCAAAAGTATAAGAAAATTCATTAACCTTTTGCCTATTTAACCTATTTATAAAATATATTTGGTTAAGGGAAAAAATCAGCAAGAATAAGAAATTAAATCTGCCTACATTTAGCTTAGCTTACATTAAACAATATTTTTAAAATAATATAAAATATATTTATATATACGAAAAATAGAAAATGCAGTAAGATTATTGGAAAATTAATCTATATTATTGTATAATTAATTTTATAAAATATAATTTCTTTTTTAAACTAGTAAGAAACCTGGGCACGAAATAACTTCTAAACTATAAGGAATATTTTAAAAATATTTAAAAAATATATTTATACTATAATTAGTTTAAAAAATCATTAATCTATGCTTACTATTTTTAAAACAGACACAAAAATTACTGAAAAAGAAATTTCAAAATTTAATAATATATTCCATACCATAATTAAGCCCTTAAATAAATATGTAAAAAATATTTTAAAAATGTTTAGAAATGATATACAGATATATAAAGTTTAAAAAAAATTCAAATTTAATATAAATTTGCTTCATAAATTTACAAATTCAGCTCCTAGAAGAAGAGCTTTGTATCCCCATTGAAAAGCTATTTAAAAATGCCAACAGAAGTTAATAAACAGAAAAGAAAAATCTTTAAAAATTAAAAAAAAAAATCAAATAAAATCTCAAAGATTTCCCCACAGTGCACAGACACCCATTCCGAAGACCATTCAATTAGCAATCATGGAGAGTCTGTCAACTCCTACGAGTAGTACCTGATGATCCATGCAAACGTTCCAAGAACAACGCCAAGAACTTTTGGCTTATTTCCGGGAAAACTCAAGTCCTTGAGTTGAGGAGACGAGCAGAGCCATCAAGAAACTGAGAATCCATAGTAATTTATCATCCTCAGAGCCAGCCCGCGAGGCTGTCTTCTTCCCTAAAAACCCAGCGGGCGGTACTCAAAGACTTTCAGCCAACAAGAAAAAAAAGTTAATAAATATAGATATATATAAAGGGAAAGAGAGAGAGAAAGTAGAGTAAGCCAAACCTTTTAGGCCAAAATAGGAGAATGGGAAAATGCGGTGGGCCAAATGATTAATTGCTAGAATGTCCAGTCGAGTGGAAAATTCACAAAACACATTTCCATCATCAAAGCGAAACTGATTTTTGCAGTAACGAAAGACGAAATTCTGTCAACGAAGAAATCAAGACAGACAGCTCAGCTTCTCTTCCATATACCCAAAATAATGTTCACTCTGTCAGTTTGAATTCAAATTCTTGGCCTTAATTGCAAATATAATATATAGCTCATTCCTGCTGCCCTGCTAATTGCACATTTTAAACTTCAATTCCTTTCATTGCACAATGAAATTAATAGCTTAAATGCTATATCTATTTGATTTAACTTATCAAATTGCTTCTTCAGCCCAAAAAACAAGAAACAATCAACGACCAGGTTGCAAGTTTCCAAATGTAAACAAAAACATGAATATGTTTTTGATATTTTGTGGAAAGCTCTCTTACGCACACACTTTGCCCATTAGAGCACTTTAGCCATTCATTATTATTGTGTAAAATTGGCAAAATTATAAATTAATCAACCAGGAAAATGCATGCTCAGTTTCTCATTTCAATAGCAATAAGCAATAAGCTTTTCATTTGCATTTTCTTGGCTCTATTAATGAAATATGTGTTCTCTATTAACACAACTGTTTTTCCTTTTAAGAGACTAAAATTTGAGTTTATAAATCAAAGGCAGAGATCATTTTGTGGCCAATCAAGATGGTTAAAAGTTTCTTAGTTATGAAATAGATATTGTTAATTACTTTAAGTTACAGTTTTGAAAATATAACAAGATGGGGAAAGGTTTCTTGGCTATGAAAAAGATATTGTTAATTACTTTAAGTTACATTTTTGAAGACATAACAATCAGCTTCTTTTTTTGTAGGACTTTCTCCAAAAATAAACTTAAGCTTTCTTAGGCCTAGTAAAACTCCACCCTTTTCCTTAAAAATATATCAAAAAAATCTCCTTTTAATCTTAAAATAAAAAACATTTTTAGCAACCACCTTTGCCCAAACTGTCAACTTTTTCCACCAACAGAAACTACTTTCCCCTCAAAACCAAAAACCATCAAAATTTTAGGCACTTTCTCAACATGGAATCATCGGAACTGGACAAACCAGAAGTGCCATGGCCAGCAGATGCTCATCTCTACCAGCCATCGGATGGGAATCAAATCTTATTACCAGAACTTTCTAGTTGCCTAGCCGTAAAGACTTATCTGCGCATGTGCAACCTACCATTCACGGAAAAGATCAGCGAGAATGCAGAGTTCATGTCGCCAGGCGGAAGATTAACCCACCTGCCGCTACTCCGCTTGGGCCCCATCCAGACCTTTGCCGAATTCGAGCCCATTGTGGCCCAAGTGGAGATCATTCAGGATGGCAGCTCCCTAAACAGTTGGATGACTGAAGATCAGAGAGATGACCTTCGTTCCCTGGTCAACTATGTGGAAAATGTCTTTACCCTCGCCGAAATCCATATGATCTTCATGGATATGGTTAACTATCAACTGTACACGGCACCACGCAGTGAAGCAGCTCATCCATGGCCATTGAGCACGATCCGTCGGTTGGACAAGCAAAAGGCGGCCCAAAGACTTCTAAAGGTCTACCAATGGCAGGATATGGACAATGACCAAGTACTACACGAGCTGGGTCTCTGTGTGGGCGCACTGATTGACCAATTGGAGGGGAATCAATCGGAGGACTTCTTCTTATGCGGCTCGCGACCTTGCGAACTAGATGCTTTGGTCTTTGGTCATGTCACTGCCATAATGACCACCAAATTACCAAACATGGAACTGGCCGAGATCCTTTCCACCTATCCACGTCTATTGGCCCACTGCCGACGCATCGATGAAAGCCTATTCGAGGGCAAACTCCTGGCAACCGGTGACAACGAAAAGCCATTGGAAATGTTGGGCAAATAAAATTAAGGAAAGACAGGACGACTTTGGAGTCACTTTCGAAGTCCAACCCGCCCCCCTCCCTTCCGCTATCAGAGAACAAAGGCTTTTCTTATTGTTTTTTTATTTGGCCAGAGGTCGGTCGTCGGAAAGCCAATCAAAAATATGCAAAGCATTTACAATAAAAAACGGCAGAGAATCCGAAGTGGGAGTGGGTTTGGAGGAGCAAGTCGAGCCAGAGATAAGCCAGCGCACAATGCCATAAAATACAGCAACAGACAAGGTTAAACAGTGAGAGAAAAACTAGGAAAAATAATTTGGGAAAATCATTTTAAGCTAAGAAATTTAAAGGAAATAAAGTTGGTTTATATGGAAACCTGAGAAACCTAAACTAATTTCTAGTACTATTAATTTTAAAATGAAGACTCTTTTTAAATACTAAAAGTTGCCCAGTGTAGAAGCTTGTTTTTTGGCCTCTAGCTGGCATTCAATTTAAGTTCGCCCTTCAAGGTAGGCCCAGGCAGGCAGTGGCAGTCGCAGGCAACAAACCGGGCACAAACATAAAATGTCAGTTCGATTTTATGACTGGCCCAAAGTCACCAATCTCAATACGGAGAAGGGTCTGCTGCTTTCCCGGACCCTCTGGTACTACGGCTAGCTAACCCGTGTGACATGGCCGCATCGTTCGGACAATCAGGGAGCCATCATCATCGATGGGGTCCGCTGTCAGCCAGTTCCCCTCCAGCTTTCGTTCTCTCTTTTTTTTTTTGTGCTTTGCAATCAGAAACTCATCATGGCCTATTGATGATTTTTTCCGTTGTTGTTTTCTGTTGTATTTTTTTTTTTTTTTTGCCTTTTCTACGACTCCCAGAGGATAATGTTTGGCTGCCGCCGTTGGCCTTGATGCCTGTCCCCTGGTCCTCCTCTCGTCCTTTGGTAATTTATTGGAATTTGCCAAAAGGATTAAGTACGCCAATAAGCGTTGCTCAACGTCAATGAGAGCAGCGCGTGAGTATCTGCTCATCGTGCTCGTTTTCATTTTTGTATTTTGTTTTTGTCCCTATATCGGAATGAGCAACATCAGACGGCATCATCGTCATCATCATTGCCGCCGGCCATTTTCAGCCCTTTCGTCTGTTTCCGCTTCCGCTCCGACTACCGGTTTTTGGTGTGTGTTTGTGTGTGGGCGTGGACGTGGGCTCTACAACTCAGTTGCCAAAAAAAAAAACGGAGCACAAGAAACTGATAAACGCTGCGCGTGTCGAATGCCAGCCTGATTTGTTTGGCTTAATATTTCAATTTTGGCTTGCCATCTACGTATTTGGAGAGTATAGGAGTTAGGGGTACTAATGATTTAGTAAAAAAAAAAAATTAACACAATTATTTAGTCTTAAAATCACAGTAAACTCAATACATTCCCTTGATTAACCTCTTACAAAAAGTTAATTAGGGTTTAGCTTACTTAGGAACATCAAAAACACATTTTCGCTGTTTGTGGGCGTTAGAAAAGGCGTGGCTGGGTGGTAAAACAAACTTCAGCTGCTCAGGCATCTCTAATATCTACATGTCTAAACCCAACTTTCTACCTCTTATAGTTCCTCAGATCTTAGCCTTTATAGAGAGATACGGACAAAAGAACGGACAGGCGGACAAGGTTAAATCGACTCAAATATTTAACCTAATCAGAATATCTATTCATTATAAGGGTAGAAGCACCTCATTACTTTCCAAAGAAATTTTTTACCCAGCAAGTTAAGAAATGATCATCAAAATGATCACATAACCCCAATGCAGACAACTTGAACACTACAAAGGCAAAGAAAACAAACTTACCAACACTGCCAACTCCAAAATTCAAAACAAATATTTCAGAATATATGAAATTTTGTAATATTATCCAAGTTTCTTGCTTTCCCTAACTAAGTTCTACCTCTAAAAATTAGATCACAGCCGTAAACCATCAAAACTATCAAATCAACATAAAATCATGTACCAAACTGATTGCCCAGATTAATTTACAGATTCTGGCATTACTTTTTCTCCCACTAAATAATACTTTATCAAGTTCATGGCACTTCAATCATAAGTTCTTAGTGATTTCATCGTAATCACCGGAAATCACTCACTCGATGTTTATCACTTTGTTAGTTCTTTCTGTATAAGGACACCACTCAGTCAATTTGCTCGGAAGTAAACTCAATGAAATCTTGTAGAGAGACAAACGTTGGCTCAAAATGACCACAGTTCGAGGGCCCCCAAGTCCTAAAGCCCGACCTGAACTTCTTCGTCACGTTGTGCTTTATCACTTTATTCGAAGCTGAGACGCCTAATTATCCATCATCCGGCAAGAAGACTCCATCATCATCATTATTATCGTTGTTGTCGTCGTTGTCGTAGAAACGACCTTCAACTTCTAACATTTTCCGCACGCCCGAGTAACCCTAATGTAAAGTATATAAAACACAATTTGTTTTCATTTTGTGCTTTTACCGCTGAGCGACTATTCCGACTTTTACCCCGATTTTCCTCGACTTTGCCATGGCCGCCGCTGGCTTTGAGTTTTCAGCGCCTTAGCCTTGCCCAAGATCCTTCTTTCACCATCCCGCATTCAGCATTCTGTCAGCTTAAACCGCTGCCACTTGCCATTGTTGGCTGTTTGTTTTTTTTGTTTTTTTTTTTGTTAGCCAAGCATTTGGCGAAAACTTTTCCACATGCCACGCCCAGGCGCCAACCATTCTACCGAACGCGCCCAATCTGAGTGCCGTAGGGCCACTAAACAACAGATAGACTAAACGGGACAAAAAACACTGTAGGTATATAATACTTGACTCGTACATTAAGTTATATACACTGAGATATACACTGAGATGATTGGTTCTTAGATTGATAGATCTATAAAGATAATACTGAAAATAAAGATTATTTCTTGAGAGATAAGCCTTTGGATTGGTTTCTTTAAAGTAAACGTAACTTAGTCTAGTCTTAGCTGGTTTCTATAAAATCTTTTATTATTAACCTAAAAATATTCTAAAAATAATTATAAATAATCTTAACTTTATATTTTATATTAGGAACGGGTAAAATTATATTTAATATCTCTCAAAAAACAAAAAATACTATAAAAAAGGTCAAAAAATTAAAAATGTAAACCCAAAAAAACTCCCATATCCCATTTTCTCGCCGTGTTCTCGCATTTCTAGATGGAAAAGTTCTACGTCGAAGCTTGGCCATCAGCGGGATGAAGGGAGATAGATGGTTAAGGGCCAAAAACTTTCTATAGCCTACAAATTTTCTTTTGGGCTCCAAATTGGCTGAGGGAAGAAACTTTTACTTGCGGCTACTTTCGCCGCCGCTGCTGCTGCTGCTGCTCTGTCACCGATGTCGCAGCAACATGGCATGGCAAGGTCCATCCTTATCTCTATCTTAGCTACTCTCCCCAGCTCCCCCCCATTATTTTCCATTTCTGCTTGACTGGCCATATCCTGAGCCTAGGAAAATGTACCCTGAGCAGTGATTAGGCAATAATTCTGTGGCACGCAAACGGCGAACATATTAACCCGCCCCAGGAAATATGGCGTGTCATTGAACAACTCAATATCCATCCCACTAGTAGTAGGTAGCTTGGGGAAACTCAAAAGCTTACCCACCCCCACTCACTCACTTACTTTTTCCCAAAAACTCAAGTTCCAGGACGTTTTTTTTCGGGTTGTTAAGCAAATCACGTAAATTTCTTTAAACGAATTACTTTCAAATTACCGAAAATGCTCGGATCGGCTGGCTGGATGGCGGGCCAGCTGCCTCGTTTTCCAAACAGGTGCTTGTGTGTGCTCTTTGCTTTGTGTTTTTGGTGCTTTGTGCTTTCTTGCTTTCTTGCTTTTTCTGCTTTCTTCATGCTTTCAAGCCAAGCGACAACAAAAGGTAAGAACGGGGGTGTGTGGGTGCAGAGTTTCCCCAAAAAAAACGATTTGCTGGAGAGTTTTAAATAAATATTATTGCCTGTAATTTATATGAAAAGTTTGCGCCACTCTTCTTCGCTCCTTTGGCATTTTCTTAGCGAGTGATTTTACCGATTTTCCAATTTTCCAATTTTCATATTCAGCCATGAACACGTATATCGAGTTAAAGTTACACCTTTGGTTTTTGGCTAACACAGGAAAAAAAAAAGAAAAGAAATAGGGAAAATCCGGAAAATAAAAAGGAAACTGGGTCTCAATTTATACAGCAGCAGCAGGAGCAGCAGCCAGTTGGTGCTACCGAGACTGCCCTCAAAGCTACAACAAAAGCGGTCGCAGTTTATAAAGTAGCAACAAATAATTGACCACCCACACATGCTGCAGAAGGGGGTAAGGTGGCGGGGGTAAATTGTTCAAGCTTTCAGTGGGTTAAAAACTAAAAAAAAAAAAATAAATAAAGAAATAATAATAACCGAGAGCAGAGAAAACTCAGCGGAAAAACCCGCTCAAGTGGCAATCATCATGATGTTGCCACCGCCGCCGCTGCTGATGATCATCATCATTGCTGGTTGCACTTGGCAATTGTTGCCACCGAAAAAAAAAAGAAGAGGAAAAGAGGAAGGAGGTAATGGGGCAGCACCCCCTAACCGCCCTCTGGACCGCCCTGTTGAGTGCTTAAAAATACATTGCACGTTCAAATTGAAGTGGAAATGCAACGAAATGCATATAAAAACATCCTGACCCGAAAGGACCTGCTGGAAAGCGATTTCTCCAAGGAAAACTCTTAAATATTAAATGGGAAATGCAAGTATTTTGTAAACTAAGAGATTTTTAAAGGTAAATATTAAAAATATTTTTCAATTTATGAAATATTAGTAATAATTATTGTACAAAAAAGGGCAATGATTAAGATTTACTACAGATTAAAGGCATAAATTAAGCAATATTTAAGCCAAAAAGTTAGCTTCCAGTTTTAAGTTTGCAAAAATATAAAAAATATTGAACTTAAGTACTTGAAAATATGTTTCTTGAATCATTTTAAAGCATATTTTTAAACTTTTCTTTAATAAGTAAGAAGTTATCTGTCGTTTTGAACTAATTTATGGATTAAAAGAAACAAAATCCCTGCAACTCTCTCTTCTAATTACCAACAAACTTAGAAAATTCCCCAAAGAAAAAACCCTGTAATTTAAAACCCTCACTGACTTGCTACTCAATCCCCCAATAAACTTAATTTACATGATTTAATCTAAATATTGTTTTGATTTTCTCGTAAGGGGAAAACGTTTATCGGTACGTGGCGAAAGCATGGATACATTGGAGCTTATACATTGGCTTGTTGTTATTGGATCCACCTTGTGACTGCCCAGGAAAACAGTCAACTCCCCAAAAAAACCACCAGCCACCATCATCCCCCCCACAACCAAACCGGTCACGTGGCG